AGCTGATTTATAATGAATTGTAAAGACAATAGTCTAGAACAATGCCATACAGGACAAGCAAAACAATAGACATCAATATTTGAACAACTGCCCGTCGATTCCACCAATCCCTGCAGTCGCACCGTACAAACCAAGCTGCGTTTTAATTGAAAAGTGTCTAGAATCTATGCAAATTAACTTGTCGGTATAATATTGTTGGGTCCACCACACATTTTGCATTATTGATTAAAGAAAGGTGTTTGGACTTCGTTTCTCTCCTGAAATTTCTCTGTTTTTGACTAAATAAAAACTATGACAATCTATTAATTTTCCTTCCTTCAATGTTGTTTTTCGGTTTTCAAGAACATTAAAAACTGAAATGTTGAGAGAGAGCGTGTTTTAACTTCCTCTCCTTTCACTTCATTTCTCTTGATCTTTTAATAAAAGACCCCAGTGCAATTATTTCCTCTCATAAAAGGTCAAAGCACTCTGCGATACTTGGAAATATAGCCAAAAAATAAATGTTCACATCTGACTCATAATTGCCTCTAGCTATTTTTTTTAATGTCAGACTGTTTGGCGACACTACTATTCCCGGGTAATGTAAGATAAGAATAAAATAAAACCTGAACGAATTACGAATTGATTTCATCGAAAGAATAATCCTTGCAGCCTGCCACTGTCGACGGTTTGGTTTTTTTAAACTGGGCTTGGGATAAAAGTTAGTTAAGTAACGTGCGTTCTTAAAAGAAGACGTCAACTTCCTGGCATAATGTAGTACAGTTACCGCTTCCTTTAGCCAAAACTGAAGAGGAATAACTTTTTTTGGCCTGCGGGGTCAATTTTCATAATTGGTTATTCCTGTTTACATTTCACTTTTGAAGCTCAGCTTGAAGAAAATGGCAATTACATAGAATTATGGTGGTCACGCGTTTTCATCTTGCGCGCCTGACCTTTGGAACAATCTTCCTCTTGAGGTAGCCTGCGTAGTAGGCGCTAGGAATTAAATGAGCGCAAGAAAAAACGCGCGCGCGAGAAGGAGACACGCGCCCGTTCTTTCTTGCGCCCATTTACTTCCTAACGCCCGCTACGCAGGCTATCTTGATGTGAGGATCCCCGCGTCTGCTTAGTCATCTAAAACCAGGCTTAAAACTTCTATTTATTGTGAGCCTGTATGATAGTTTGAATCAGTACTTTTTAACTATCTAGAATTTTTGCAATTTTCTGTTAAATTTTTCGGTCTCGATTTCATATTGAAAGAGCATCGAGATTTTCATGTAATGCGCGAGAAATAAATTATTATATTTATTATTATTATTTTATATTATTATTACTATTATTTAAATTGAGGCACCTACGTGACAGCTGTCAACTTTGTTACCCTGACACGACAGACAAGTGTTCTAAAGATATTACTTTTCATGAGACGTGTTCTATTTATACAACTTCAATTGATTTGTGATGAGTTGTCTTGGAGAAACTAGCAATTTAAGATCGACATTTAGTCTGCCTGGCAAGCCTTCTGGCGGCATTGAAGAGTCTTCCGCTTCGTGGCCGAATAAAGCAAAATCCCTCATTATTTGTTCACGCGCCAACTTTTGCACCGCTGAAGAGCGGAAAACTCTCTAGTTACAATTTCCTTTGGCTTAGCCAGCTCTAGTTCCAGGTCCAGATTCTCGAGGTATCGACAATAAACGGGAGCGATTAAAACGGTGGAAAACTGGAGAGACCGTAGGAGGGCTCCCTTTTCTCTCCCTTGGTTATTTTTTCTGTCGCTGTCCTTCTCATTCCGTCCTGTTCTGCACTGTGTTAACGCTTATAACACACAGAACATGCAAGAGGCGCTATACGACGCAAGCTAAATGACTATTGTTGCGTGCATTGTGTGAACGCTTAAAACATGGTGCTATGATACGTAAGGTGATCGACAATTTGTTTTCGTACACTGTGCAAACGCTTAAAGTGGGCTGATTGGCGCTACGCTGCGCAAGCTAATCAAAAATTTCTTTCGTAATTGTGAACACGCTTAGAATAGGCTCAGTGGCGCTCTACTTCGCAAAGTTATCAACAATTTGTTTCGTGAATGGATGCGTTAAAATAATTTCACCTAGCTTGTAACTCGTACACAAAGGCTGTTACAAGGTGTCATTCAAATGTAAATTGATTGCAACTCCCTTAAAAACTCGAAATATAAGAGGAACGTTGTGAAGTTAGACTGTTCACACTCCCCTATTTATCCGTAAGATCGCCGAGACCGAGCGCGTCGGGTTGCGGGCGGTTTCATTGTGGTTTCAAAATGTTAGGAGTCGAGCTTCCCCTTGGTGCATTTGAAACCAAGATAGTTGCCGTAACTTTGAGCGTTCCAGAATCTAGAGGATCTTACGGGAAAATAGTGGACTGTAAACAGTCAGTGGAAGGTTTTATGGTGGTTAAACCTCAAGCCTCTTTCTAATACGTGCTTTCTTTGTACGCAGATCTATCAATACATCCAGAGCCGGTTTTACCGCTCACCAGAAGTGCTTCTTGGTGTACCTTACGATCTCGCTATCGACATGTGGAGTTTGGGTTGTATTCTTGTGGAAATGCATACCGGAGAACCGCTCTTCAGTGGGGCGAACGAGGTGAGAATTACATGAAGTACTAATAAAAACTGCACCGTAATTTTTAGGGAGTTATTATAACTCCAAAAATGGAGTAAAAATTTTCGGTAAGGGATAACCCCTTTTTGGGGGTTATTTTAACTCCTAATTTGACTCCGAATTTGGGGTCATTTTTACTCCTGAAAAAGAGTTCTTTTTACCCCCAGTCTGGAGTTAAGATAACTCCAAAATGGGGTTAATTTTACTCCTTACATGGCCTGTTTTTACTCTTTTTGGAGTTAATTTAACTCTGAAAGTGGAGTAAAAATTTTAGGTACAGGATAACTCCTTTTTTGGGGTTATTTTAACTCCTCAATATCTGGGATCACTTTTACTCCTGAAAAAGAGTTCTTTAAACTCCTTTTTGGAGTTAAAATAACTCCCCAAAAAATAACTCCACAGTAAAGAGTTAAATTAGCCCCACCAGAGGAGTTATTATAACTCCTTGAAAATTACTGTGTGAATAAATAAGTAAATAAATAAACGGATAATAAATACAATACAATACAAACTTTAATGACACTCCCTAAAGAGAGTAAAGACCGCTTTTTAGTGACAGTCTATAAATTTACAAGACAGTACGTCAGAACGATATTAAATCTAAAAATTACAATCATACTATGGTTTACATAAAAGAGTCAGAAAGCTAAAGATAGTCGCTAGAATTACGAGGTAAAAACTTCATATAAGAAATGAATGGGGACGTTTGTGACACAAAATTTAACCCCTCCCTCCCCCCAAAGATTATAAGCTAAGACCGACAAGAAAGAAAAGCGGCGAATAAATTGGCTGTGAACGGAGTTGCAGAATTTAAAGGAATACATAAATAATGATTTAGAGGTAGCACATCCACGAAGTGGTTCTTGGTCTACCTGATTCCTGGTCGAACTGGAATTTGGAAATGTTGGTTTTTGGGGAGAGGGGAAAACCCGAGTCGCCTGAAGTAAAAGGGAAACAACCAACATATGGCGGCGACGCCGGGATTTGAACCCGGGCCAGGTGGGAGGCGAGTGCTCCCACCACTGCGCCACCCCTGCCCCCTCTCCCCCTTATGTAGTTTTGGTCGTGACTAGAATCGATACCTTAAAATCAGGATGGACACCTTGTGTTAATTACACAACCGTATACTCCTCGGAGATAGCCATTTATGGGTATAAGTTTGGCAGGTTTTTGAGAAAAGTGGGGAAATCAGAGTGAGGGACAGTTGTGCAAGGAAAAGAGTTGAATGTAGGGTTTAGTACAGATGTAAAGTCACTAGGGTTAAGCGCTCTTTTAAAAATGGTTAGCTTTCAATAATGTTATTATCAATGTCATATAAACTGCGTTAACTACATACTACCTACTGTTTTCCTGCGTTCTTTTTCTTCTCTTATTAACTAGTACTTTAAGTTATAAGACTCCTATCATGTATTTTGAGTAAAGATGACCATCTGATTTTGGGGTATCCATTCTAGTCGCAACCGTGTAGTTTTCTTTAAAATTCTGACAGGAAAGTTCCGCTTTCATGGCGATTATTATGACGGAAAACAGCATCACGTTTATCTCGAGTCTCTCAGCGCCGGTTAAAAGCTTTCAAATGGAGCAAATTGTTCACATTGCTTTTTTTGTTGTAGTTTGATCAAATGATGAAAATTGTGGAGGTTTTGGGCCTTCCACCGAAACACATGCTAGAGGGTGCCCCCAAGGCTAGAAAGTTTTTCGATCGATTGGCAGATGGCAGCTACGTCTGTAAGAGTAGCAAAGACGGAAAGAAGGTAAGGAAATCTTTTTTTAATTTATTTTATCTATTTTTTCTTCAGTCCTAATGACTTCTGTTGATGCGTTGCGAGCGTCCACGCGAAAGGCGATATTCCACGCTTTTTGCTGTTTATCTCGATGGAGAAAAAGAAGAGATCACAGGACCGAATGGTCTCGTATCCTCTCTTGGAGATCACACGTAGTTAAGCCTTCAAGCATATGTTCTCTTAGTGGTCGTGCTTACTTACAGATTTTACTGTATTTCTGCTTTATAAAGCATAACTTTTTTGTAAATCCTGAAGAGAGCAGGTAAAGGAGACTTGTCTATCCCAGGTCTCCGATATGCCTTGTCGGCTAACACGGAGTCACCTTGTGAAAAAAAAGCGGTTCAGTCATTCGAAGTGTACAGTTGAAGAGGGTTTTGTTTGTTTGCAAGCAAGCTCTCTCATTTAAGAGCTTGCTCACGGGTTAGGGTTCTTGAACCCCTGCCTCCATCTCCACCGTTTTTTTTTCTGCCTCAAGCTTTCTCTAGCCTGCGAGTTCAGCCTTTTTTCCTCGCTCCTCCTCGCTAGAGTCTTTACTAGGGAGCTTAAGCAGCGACGTTTTTGAGCGACGTACGTCAACCGGAAGTGAGGTATTTTCCCTCTTAACGTGCCTTGATGATATAAAATTTGTATTCCTTAGCTTCTTTACTATTATAGAGGCGATTTGACTGAAAATTTGCGCGAAACCACCGTCAAAAAATGAAAAAAGGCCACTTCCGGTTGACGTGCGTCGCTCAAAAACGTTGTTGCTTAAGCTCCCTACTAGCATCGGGGAGCAAGGAGAGAAGGCTGTATTCACAGGTTAAGCTTTCTCGTCTCGCGCCTCAGGCGCTTTAGATAAAACGAGTGCTGCCCAGTCTATTCGTGTAAGAAAAATTATCCACGGACCCTGTCTGCTTAGGGTCTGGTTTTCCTAGAAGACTATAATTTACGTAAAAACTGTATTTTCCTCAAGGAATATCGACCCCCCGGAACACGGAAGCTCCACGATGTTTTAGGATGTGAGACAGGTGGCCCGGGAGGGCGGAGACAGGGAGAATCTGGGCACACGCTCCAGGACTATTTAAAATTCAAAGACCTTGTTTTGCGCATGCTAGAATTTGACCCCAAGGCGCGTATAGCGCCTTACCAAGCTTTGCAACATTGCTTCTTCAAAAAGACTGCCGACGAAAGCACAAACACTTCTCATTCTGCTAATTCTTCACCCGCCATGGGCGGAACAACGAACAGGACTGTTGGGGCGAGCACAAACAGCGCTGCTTCTTCCAGCACTGGTACGCGCGCATGCTCAGACCCCACCAACCGCGGTACTGTCACGTCATCAGCTATGGAATGTGACAGTCCCGGTGGAAAAGGACCGCAGGCTTGGAACAACGCGGGCGCGGGCATTTCTTCGAATTTTAAGCGAAACACAGAGAGAACTTGTAATAATTCTGATTCAAGAATCGCCACTCATGGACTTAAACAAACTTCTACATTGCCTGTCGCACATAGCGATGGCTCGTCCGCGTACAGTTCTTCCTCTATTAACGCATCTTTGCATAGTGGTGACGCAGGACGAAGCCAGGGGCGGGATTTCGGGATTGGCGGAGGAATGTACTGCAGCTCAGAAACTGCATCGAATTACTCATCATCTTCGTCTTGTAATTCAATGACTGTCGAGCCGCATGGGGCAGTCGGAGGGGGAGTGCTTCCCCCAGAAGCCTTCACACAGCTGAACTACTCTGCGACAAATTTATCGCTTAATCCAGGGGAACACGAGGTAAATTGCGTGGGATCGTCAACGACGATTCCAAATTCGTTGGCGAATCCGAGGGGACTTCCATTGGGACATCGCAGGGATTATGTTCATCAGCATTCAACGGGGGATGAATCTCCCATGGTGGGAGTTTGTGTACAACAAAGCCCGGTGGTTAGCAACTAAAGGGGTAAGCACAGAATGGAAGGCCGTCGACCATACCCCTGGGCTATCCCGGCCAGTCCCGTTCCGACATACCGCTTCCCATCAAGTCCCGATTGCGTCTGTGGCATTCATACAGTAGCGGAGTCTATTGTCCAATGAAAGACGCCCTCGTAAAGATAGCGCCTTAAACCGAGATGACAACAGAGATTATCACTTCCCTCGTTTTGTTTCAAAAAACGCGCATGCACTTACAAAGGCAGCTGCTGAACTAATCTCTCCTGCAGATGGGGGTGCACAGCTACAAGTTCTTCCATGCATGTTCTTCCGCAGTTGGATCAATGTAGTTTGCTGCGAATGTACCCACCTACCCCTCCCCTAACTCAAAGTTAACACTTACTTCTCACGTAAGGCAAAATGTTGGCTTATGGGAGGGGTAGGAGGGCAGTTTCCCAGAAACCTACATTTTTCTGCCTTTTATTCCTGTCTTTGATTTCTTTCAAGCAAAAAAAGGTCAGGTGTGGTTTTACTGGATCGATATTTGGGAAGAAAGATGAGGTGGTTTAGTCACAGGGAGTTGTTGCGTCGTATCTGTTTAAGGGGAGTTACGTAAACACAGTGAGAACTTAAGAACTCCCGTGCACAGTCACACGGACCGAAGCTCACGTTTTCGAAGCGAAACTAAAATAGGTAGACGTAGTCATATACGTGTCTTGATGCAGACCTTCCGGTAGAAAATTTAAATTTCCTGGCCAAGTGATGGGATCCTGAGTTTGCTTAACTCCCTCAAAACGGCGTCAAGGTTATTGGGTAAAATAAACCTTTTAAAGAAGTATTTAATATACAGTCAGAATTTAAAGTTTTTGTGGAGACGTTTCGAGACGAGCGTATTTGACTATGTGGTGTCGCAAGGTTTTTGTGGCTTTTTATTGGTTTAAAAATGAAAGAAAAATTCTTTTAGTTTTTATCTCTCATTCTTTCAGTTTTAATGGCCATATATCACCGTATATTTTTTCAGTTTATTTTTAATCTCTCTTCGACATACTGTCAATCATACTTCTTTTGTTATCCATTCCTTTTCTCCAAGAGGAGCATAGCTGGAATATTTTAGAAAATTTTTACAGGTAGTAAGACCTTTGTAGTATCATCGAGAATTTTATTAATTTTTATCTTTTTTGGGCTTGATAACGCTCATTTGCAATTCTAGAATACAATTTTATGACTTTAACTTTTTCTGTTAGTTGAGGAGAAGAAACAGTTGAGATCACAGGTACAGGTATAATTACATTGGTAAGAAGATTCAGTTATATTCCCTGCCAGTAGCGGTCACTGACGGTGAGAGAAAAATAAGAGAAAAGAGAGAGAGACCTCCTTCCTGTTATTTTTCTCGTGTCGTGAGAAACTGTAGTCTGCTACACAGCCCGTTTTTAGAGTCGTCACGCAACGCTCCTCCCCACAAGGGGGAAGGAGACTGTGTAGCAGACTAGAGAAACCTCTGCTAGCAAGGAATCGGTTATGACGTTAAGTGGTCTATGTCACGCTCTTTACCATCCTTTCAAACAGCTAAAACTTTTTTCGTACCAATTGAATTCCAAAAATAATGGTCCAGTTTTGTTATTTAAGAGTATATTAAGGCAATGAAACTGTTTTCTGCTGTCTATTGCAACAGATGGCAAGGATTGACATGGATTGAAACTTAAAAAGGTTGGGCTAGCTTTTACGAGTCTTAATGCTGTGCCTGCAAAAATCGCCAAAAATTATTATGGTCCCTGGTAGCATTTGTTTGATATCTTCTCCATAACTCTACAGGAGGATTTTGTGTTTGGAAGAAGATACTAAGTAACGACTTTAGCACAGAATTGACCTTAAAAGAAGCAATATCCTCGTGACATAGCCCCCTTAACCCTTTAAGCCCCAGTTGATACACATAAAAATTCTCCAAACTGATCTCTATACATTTTATTGCAAAATATGTTGAGAGAATTTGATAAAACATCAGGGCATTTTCTCTTTGGTGATCATTTTTATTCATTCTCACAACCTGATCTCTTTACAATGCATGGATATTGTTAGGAGAAAATTGATATTGGTCACCATTGGAACTTTAAGGGTTAAAGTTTGAAACGGTTAATCCAATTGTCCGACTTAGTTTCAGCGTTTTTGCTTTTATTTATTTATTTTAAAGTCTTAGCATTTGCAGTCTCTTTTCCAAGGTTTTCTATGTGAGCAGAGGGTCCCACCACCAGATGGAAAGAATGACTGTAATAACAGGCATTTGAAAAAGTTATGACAAATAGTACATTTTGAAAGAAGTTTACTTTTTGGGAGAAATACGATGGTTTATTTATTTATTGAATGGCAAACTGGGAAAAAAAATTGGGGAAAATATATTATACAATGGGTAATAACTCTTTGTCAAGTCTGAAGATGAGAAGTTCCAAAGTTCACGCATTATTGTATGGTTATATCGCGCGTAAAGGAATGACGCACGCTTTGGTTTGTGGTACATTTGGTGCCAGATCCTTCCGTGTATTTCAATTACGTAATTTCCATCGTTTATAATGTGTGTTCATTGTTATAGCAGGGAATAGCTCACCAAGAGTGATAGCCTGGGATCCGGAGAGGGTTTTTCAAAAGTTTGTGGGATTTTCACTGTGGAAAGAGACGTCGTTTTGTGTTTTGACATTGTTCAACTACTGATCTTAATTTACGCGTCTCTTCCTCCTTCCCGCTTCCCCTTCCACTCCCTCTGCGGAGCGGCCACTTTTTTCCCAGGCTACCACTCTTTTCCAATGTGAGCTCTTTGTGCCTCTTAAGAAAAAGCGATCACGCTCTAACCTAAGAAGATTAAAATCTCTCTTTTTACTGTCAGACATGGTTGTCACATGTCAGGAAATGGTCAAGGAAAAATAATTCTTATAGGTCAGGAAATGTTATTTTCAGTCAGGGAAAACTAAAATTATGCAAGGATTCGGGAGAACCGTAGTTTTGACATCACTGATTTAATGGCAGTGAAAGAAGAATTTCAGGTCACTATATCTCAAGGTTGTCTAACCGTCACTTTCAAGGTAGAGGTAAAAACTTAATATTTTCATAATAGGACATGGGGAGGCTGGAGGCCGCTACTATATCTTACATTCTAGTCAGGGAAATTTTACCTCTATCAGGTAAATGAGCGATGTTTCAAATTGATGACTGTGGCAACCGTGTCTGAAAAATCAGCTAAGATGACCCAGGGTAGGATTTGGAATGTCTAAGCAACAGGCGTTGTTATTTCATGGTTGTTGTTTCGCATTGTTGTGGTTACTTGTCTTCGTGAAAAGTTCGGGGATCGAAATTTCTTTGCTGTTCTTAATCTGTGTCACGCAATGTCTATGTCGCGCAATGTCTGAGCATGGTGTTCCGTGACACAGGTATGGTATAGTATCTGGACTGTAACAAAAATGTCTTGATGTATTGTGAGGGCTTAAATTTTTATTTATAGTTTTTATTTTAACAAATCAATTGCCGGCTATTTACTTTTAGTGCAGCGAGTTAAATGCTTTCTACCTTTCTTGGCTTGCCACGTGGTCACCCAAACGAACGGGTATTGCGTGACAAACCATGTAAACGACAGCTTAATTTCGTATCCAGTGTCTTCTCTGTGCTCAAAATGGCGGCGCCGAAGAAGGGCGTCAACGCACACACACGCAAATATTCTAGAATATATTGTTCCATAGACGGTGATGCAATTTTTTTTATTTGGATAAGATTTGTACATTGTGAAACAAACGCGGATGCAAACCTTTAGAAATTACTTGGTTTTAACATTCTCCATTTTGAACACGGTTAAGACCCTGGACGCGAGTAACCAGCACTAATGCTCTGCAAATAACACCGAGGAGCAATTTGATTAATATCATAGGCAAGGAATCATTTTTTAAAAAGAGATGTACATTTTAAGGAAAACTATACTGTATAATATTGTAAAACTTTGATTTTTAATTGGAGTCTTACTAGACGTGGTAAAATGTCGTGTAAGTCTTTTTTAATAAAAACAGTCTCACGTCAGATTCGATGCTTGTTTTGTTTTGTTCTTTTTGCAGTTGTTGTTTTTGTTTCTATTGCACATATTAAAACAGGTACTCTCTTTTGGATGTAGTTTTAAACAACCATTTTTCAGTACCTTCAAACCACCTTGCTGCTTAAGTGTAATTCTTGGCCTACAAGGCTGTGTATGGGTCAGAGTATAAAAAAATATGTTTATTTCAAAGGAACAAGATAAGGTACTTTTGTTTAAACAGGACTCGTCGGTTATGTCTGAAACGGTTTCATATCTGTTCATTTTCAAACTGCAACTTCGAGCCCTACGAAATGGCCCATCAAATGTTGAATATCATTAGAAATTTTGGATGAATAATTGCAGAATTAAATGTAAAGATCTTTACAGTTATTGCCGCCTCTTTTGCTGTTGCGTAAAGAAAGCCTGAACAAATTTTGGGCTTACACGATTTGAGTCTCTGAGCTACCGGTGGAGCACTCTAGCCAAATGAGCTAACAAACCAACTGGGAGATTGGCCTTTGTTATTGTTCTTCTGCAGTAAAATCAACCTACATCTCCAAGTTTTAAAAACAAGGAAGGCATTTAAATGGGGGCTTCAAATGCCACAAATTATCCCCCAGATTTTGTGTTTATAAGTGAGTGTCCTCATTGTTCACTGGCATTATATTCTTTTCAAGCAGTTAGTCCGGGAGTTAGGGACGTTTTGCTTAACCCAATGGACAGAAAATGTTTTGACGATATGGATGCATCCTCGCTTTGGCTAGGTAATTTGTGGTTTCATATTGTGGTATATGTTTGAGTTATATAATTATGTTTTTAAAAGTTGACGACAGTGAAAATGAATTTAACATAATAAAAGCGAGGCTGAAAGTTGAAACGAAACAAATTCTAAGAAACATACAGCCCAAAAAAAACCAACATGCTCAAACTAAACTTCTCCAAGATACTTTTTAGCAAAAGCACCGCTGTGACATGGAGGTTTTTTGCGATGTTTTGTAGTTGTTGAAGTGTCCTGAATGCGGCAAATTAGATCTTTTGTTTTAATATGGAAGATGACAATTCTCGGCTTGCACTGTCACGCAATGAAAAATAAAAATGCAAACCATTCAATACAGAAGGACTAGAATCTGGGAAATGAAAAAAGATGAATATACAAAAACCCTTGCCAAGAATCAGGTCGGTGAAATATTTCAAATGCGAGATATTAGGAAAAACGGTTTACCTAAATTTATAAAGCTTTGTATGGAAACGCCATGTTGGTGTCCCTTTCAGGAACACCAATATGGCCGCCGGATACTAACAGAAACATCTGTTTTCGAGTTTTCCTACTAATGCGTGAATTCTTCGCTTGAGGAACTCATAAAGATTACAGTAATATTTATTCTGAGACAAGGAATGTTTAGATTGCAAAATCTCCCAAAATCGGTAATGTTTTTAGCCCACATAAGAGCTTTCCCGGCCGCCAGCTAAATGCCGCGTCACGCAATAGCCTGGAAATTCAAGCGTCCTCTCTGCAAAACGAAGAACCCTTTCGAACCAAAAATTTGTTTATGTAAAGATGTTTAGGTACTGTAATACCTCGTGAAAGTAGAAACTCAGAAGAATCGATAGTTTCTTAGTTTGATTTTTGGTGACGTCACGTGCAACCCAAGAATAGAAAGGGGCTGTGCCTCGAGTTTGCGTTTATTGTGTAATACCTGTGGCTGGAAACATTTTTTTTACACCTCGAAGCAGCAATGGAAAAGATATGACTGTGAACAGGAGCGTTGTTTACAGCATAAGAACCCTTGTGAAGGCCTAGGGGCATACTGTTGCTATTAAAAATAATTCTGAACTTAATAATCCCGTACAGGCCACCACCTCCGGCTGCAAAAAAAATATGTTAAGATTTCAGGCGTGAAAGGGAGGGGGAGAGCCCCTTTCCCTTCCCTCTCAATTTGTTTACCCTTTCCCAAACAGAGAACCTGTCTAAGAGGCAGGCGTTTCCTTTCATTTCCTTCATACATTTTTGCTCTGTTTTGCCTCGCGCGTCTTCCAGGTTTCGTTCTTGCCTCGCTTGGCCTAAAGGAAACGGAAAAGACTGCTGCAGGCAGGTTGACAAACGTGCCTCCCGCCTTCTCGTCTCTCCCGCCCGACCCCAACAAGCTCGTCACGCGTGGAGGACGAGCGCGTGACGAAGCCTGCCGTCTGCGTGGGAGGCTAACCAAACCAACTAAACCCCTCCTGTCGTTCTCTGCTTGACACGTGACTATTTTTCCGGGAAGTAGAAATTTGAAATATTCGAGTAATCTTCTCAGGGTATCTTGCGTTTCATTTATGCAGTATAGCTGTGGAAGTCGTTTTAGAATCGTAGAAAAGAAGTGAATTTGACAAGCGATGGCTAAAGCGGCATCTTTAGCGGACACCTTAGGCAAGCATTTGGAGTGTGCAGTGTGTCTCGATCAGTACAATGAACCGAAAGTTCTTCCCTGTCTTCACTCTTTCTGCAAAAGTTGTCTGCAAGGACTTTTGACTCTCGAAGGAGCAGTTTGCAAGATAATTTGTCCAACATGTCGCTCAAGTGCTGAGGTTAGTTCCGGGGTTATTTTGGACTATGCTGTCGTCATTTGCAAAAGGAAATTTTTATGCATTGTACAGTATATGTGAGCTTATCCATTGGCAACATTTTTGCGGACGTAAATGTGATAATTTTCTGCTAGTTCGACAACCATCCCTACAGATCTTCAAGTCAATAACGTTCTTGCCTTTTTTTGCCTCTAATTCTATGTGGCAGTTAATCTTCTGTCCAAAAAACAGGTTTTCCTTTTACTCTAAAACTGACTGCTCTGTCTAGTAAGCTGTCGTCTCTACGATAAATGCTTTGATTGAGGTCCCAATGAATGATTTTTTGTTTTCCCCTCAAGGACAAGAAAAAGACTGTACGTGAGGTGTTTAAGTTTCGACATATTCACTTAACTGGACGTTTAGGGAAGAGGGGGGTAAGGCGGTGGACGTTACGTGCGTATTTTTGGACAAAAGCAAACTGACGCATTTTCATAAATTTCACCACAGGTGGCCCAGACGTAATATGTGTCACTGAATGAATATAAGATTCGTATCTGTTCGGTGCTCCTAGGGCAAATTGGATCTTTTTAAAAATTACAAGGGCTTCAATATTATTTTCCTGATTGATTGACCTAGAAGTACCATCCCTCCCATAGCAAGTGCTGCGTTGTTGCGCGAACGCGGTCGCTAAGCTTGAATATTCACGTCGCGTATTAAACCTGGTCGTTTGCGGTCATATCGAAGCGTAAAGGTCAACAGTGGTTGTTGATGAACGAGCAATTATTGTGCAGTTGCGATGGGTTTTGTGGAGCAAGCGAGCCAGAAGCAGGAGCACACGTTACCTGCAGATTAGCCGATGGTTATTTGGAGCGGATTCGTCGATTATTCTCGAATTTATAGCGCTTCGTGTGAAGGCGCGTGGAGATGTATGGTCTGTTTGTTTAGTAGCCAGCCTTTAATTCTTCTTTACTGGATAGTACCTACAATTGCAAAACTCAACAAAATGCCACTTAAACCGGCCAGGAAAGACAAGGATACGTTCAGTTGAAGGTATCTTAGCTTTGTTTTGTTATATTTTGACTTTTGGACTATTTTCGTCCATGGGAGTTTCGACGACTCGTCTCATTAATTTGTCCATGTGAATATTAATATATTCATTCAGTGACACATATTACGTCCGGGCCGCCTGTGATTTTACGTCATGTGTGGAGCGGCGCTTGTAACATTATTTACAGTGTGACTATATAAACCGCGGCGACACAGCCAAAAAATGAGACAAATTTCGAAATTAGCCAATCACAAGTGGAGATCTAAACAATGAATTTGGGTATAATTTCGTACTCAGAGCCAGTTGAAAATAGGTAGAGAACAATTTTGCTAAAGGATATAAAATAACACAATATACATACTAGGAATCATGATGTTTGTGTAAATCAAGCTTTTTAGCTGACCTCCTAGGAAACATGTTTACTTGAACGAGTTGCAAAGGTCATGCTTCGTGATTGGTGGATTATTACTATCTGAAGTTGTATCTGTTTTGTATTAGGTTCACTCCTTGTGATTGTCTGATCGTGTAGTTGCACTGTAAGAGAAAGCAGGACCAATAATATTATTAAAGAAGTGAATGTAAATAGAGCTTTACACTAATGATGTCACAAATTTCTGGTCCCTGCTGTGACTCACATATTGAACCTGACGAGTTTAAGAGTTTTGTATGGGAAAGCCACGTTCGCCAACAAATTTTTGTCATCTTTGAAGATTTTTATTGTCAGAAGAAAAAAATCCAGCTCAGTTTCAATAACGTATATCCTGAATTAGTAAAATGCAACCAGTGGTCTATTATTCATGCGGTGTTCTGATTGGTTGAGCTACTACTAGGCTATATGTATGTAGCCTACCAGTAGCTTAAAAGCGCCGCACTTTTGGCGGCAAAAAGTATTAAAGTCTAGCTTTAACTAGCTAAAATTTTTTACTCTCGATATTTTTGAACAACTAGTTGGATTTTACTTAAACAATTATTCCTCTCACCCTCATGGCCTCTGAGTCAATAGCCCATTCGACCTTCGGCCTCATGGGCTATTTACTCAGAGTCCATTTGGGCTCGAAGAATAATTGTTAATTAATCAACAAGTGCAGAGACAACGTGAAACATGGAAAAAACTGTACAGATGAGTGATTTTATTTCTTATGCGGTGTCATTACTGTGGGTAAAATTGTGTTACAGGCATTTTACTAAGAATTGTATGGAGAGCAGGGCTTGAAAGCTGTTCATAGAATGGTGCACTTAGTTAAATTTATAGGCAAATATGTTGCTCAATTTTTTTTTCGAGTGCTAATGTTATGCGCTACTTATAGTACTACAGGATATGGTATCTACCAGGCTGCATAACAACAGAACAAACTAGTACAATTTCTGGTTTGTGCTTATGTTGGCGTGCTTTTCAGCTCAGAAATTCTGCTACAGGCTTGTAAGAGCACAAACAAACTGGTCTTCCTCTTAAGCAATTTCGGTTTTGGAGTATTACACAGCCAGAAATAATGATAATTGTCAAGTTTTACTGCGTAGAGTGCTATCTGACTAAGTGGCCCTGCCAGGGTAAATTCCGACAAGCGACATGGCCCAAAAAGTAGCGACAGCACATAAAATGAAATCGCGACAAGAGACAACCTCCCTCGGCCAAATTGCAACAGTGACGGCAAAGCCGACAATAAGCGACAAGCATTTATAAACACTGAGCGAGACGTTTTAAAATTCAGACGGGCAACATGGAACCTCCCCCCCCCCTGGCAGGGCGTCGACTAAGACAGAGCTTGGGATCCCATTTCAGTAGCCTTCTTTGAACAGTTTGCATTATTTTCTGATTTTAACCATTTATTTGAGTTACAATTGGACCAGGTTTTGCTCCCTATATAGCAGTAATGCCTTTTACATGTTAGAATAAAGCTCCAAAAAACATTTTAAAAACGCTCATTGTGAATTTTATGAAAAATTTTCATGTCAGAAATGCATGCTGCTCATGCAAAGCCTTTGAGCGGAGTGCAAAGTTTGTCTGAATCATGTGGGCCGGGTCTAAGGTGACAAAACCTAGTTTTAATGATAGTGCAAAGCGCTATTGTGATCTTTTATAAAACTCTGCTCGTAATAACTACCAGCAAATTGTATATTTTGCATTGTGATTTTTAAACTCTATCCTAAATTATATGCACCAATAGTTTTTTCAAAACCAACACTTATTGTTAGTTTGCTGATATTGTAAATACTTTTGTTAGAACACATTTTGAATCTTTTCTCAATACATACTTTCAATGTCAGCGTCCCTTTTCGAGAATCCGTTCACAGCCTCATCAGACAAAATCCAAGGCAGGCACTTCAATCTGACAACAAATGACAATACTTTGACTTAAAAAGAATAAGGTATAAAGTCAATAACGTCAATTTATAATGAGCAACTGCCTACCTTTACAGTGTTCTTTATAGCACAAGTGGCAAACCCAGCAAATTTCCTGGAATTCTCCCTCACTTAGATATATCAGTATAGTACAGATATTCTTAGTTGATGGAGTGTGCATTAGTCACACAAAACCTGTAGGCGATAATAAAACAGTTTTTACAACTCAAGAAGTTTGCAAAAGTGCTGCTCACTGGTTTTTCCCTTCAAAAATATTTTTAAAATATAATGAAGTTTCTACCACTTTTTAACGCAGTTAAAATTGTGTTGATACCGTTGACATCTTCATGTATTGTAAGGACATGTCAGTATTCCTTCTGGAATGCAGTGACTTTTGGAGCAGCAAAATTTCAAGTGGACGTGAAGGAGTGGGGGGGAAGGAAGGGGGGTCTGACTTGAACGTCTAGGTGATGTAAAATGGGGAAAAAGTGAATGTGTCGACGGCCCATTACTTCCTTACTTTTGGCACTAATAAGAAGAAGGAAAAGACTTACTTTAATATTGATATCAATTTGTCATGTGATGCTCTTTTGCCGTTGATCTCCAGTTTCTTGCTAACAACTCTTAAATTTGTCAAACCTGCTGTATTAAACTGAGTCAACCTGTTGATCATCCAATACAGTATGTGGTCCTTAGTCCAGGGCCGGCCGGTTTTACTTTGTGATATAATTTTCGGGAAGAAAATAAGGTTACAAAACAAACGAAATGTTCCCAGTGTTTATTCATGTGGCTAGCTTCTTAATCTCCATTAGAGGTTTTCCTGATGCTAGAGAAGGCTGGAAAATCAAGTTACTTGAACATAAGTGAAAAGAGCAGTTTATGCTCATAGTTGCATCATGCATGGGTATTCAGGGCAAGATGGCGGGAAATTCAAAGATTTGTATTAGAATTCATAGCCAGCTAATTCTTCCTGAATTCATATATTAATTTGATGCTTTCTCTTTGAAAAGAAGTTCAAAGAAACAAAATTATACACTAAATCTGGAGTGCAAAGAATTGAAGTCAGTGATCAGTTTTTTGAAAACCTCAATTTTTCCATACATTTTCTTTAATATTGCAGTTGAATTACAGAAAATGTTTGAGAAAATCGAGGTTTTCTATTCAACAAATTTTTGTACGGGGAGGCTCCACCCTGAGGTGCAACCCCTTACACATACCCTTTTATATACCATTTTTCACAAATGGTGCCGCTTTCACATAGCTACAATAGCTTGTTTAGAACTGCATCCCTTTTGAACTGCTGTAAATGTCATTTAAATAGGAATCAATCACAAAAATAGAAAGTTTTATAAGGCCATAAAATTTATTTGTTAGCCCTTTGGGCCCTTTCACAGACCCGTGTGATAGATTTCTTTACCCTGGCCTTTCGTATACTTCAACAAATAAAATCCCTGCCCTTTCATATACCTGAACCCTGATTAAGGTACCCCTTTTGGGTGGAGCCTCCCAGTATAGGCTATTATAGGGAGTACCCCCCCCCCCCTTCCCTCGGAAAGTTCAATTTTTTGTTTCGTTTAGTTCTTAGTAAATTAAGATTCATAAATTAGTGCAGTGAGGATCTTTCCACTTTGAGTCACACATTTTAAGTAAAGCACTTTCAATGAGTGGAGTAAATAATGAAAACCGCCTGCAGTGTTCATGCAAGATATATTGCTTGAGACTTTCCCAGCAGCACCAGTGCACTTTATTAATAATTTATTAAGTAGTTATATTGAAGACCAACTGAGACATATTTTTCTGATAGGATTGAGTTTTTGCTTGGAATCTGTGAACAAGCAACAGCAGAATATATTTTTCTTTGATTGAAATTCAGTAGTGGCGATTTCTCTGCATTCGCATCATAACTGCATCGATAACTGCACAACACACATTCGCACAGATGCAAAAATGTTAATTCTTCATGAGACCAAACTATAGCTCTTTACACAGAAATCTCATTTTGGTTTTGAAGTTAAAATGATGCCTATAGAAAATATACAGAAATTTAGATCAGCTGGTGTTTGGAATGTTTCTTTTTGTGCACAGTTTGCATGCCGGCTTTGTGACTAAAGTGGCCGAACCAAGGAACCACTGGCCGAACCAGGGGTCTTTAAACAGAGCAGTCATTTTGTATAATGCAGGATTGTCGGTAAGGCTCAGAAGCTGTCAGTTTTAAGTTAGTAAAATATGTTACAGCAACTTAGAGGACAACGTTCAGCTCAGTGCTCCTCTCTTAGGATAAGAAATTACTCGTTTACATCTTTTTCATTGGACCAAGGACCACATATTGTACAGGTGTGACTGCATTTATTAATCTCTTATATTTATTATAAATAATATGAATACACTTGTAATACACAGATTCCTCAAGGACAAGTTGATTTACTACCTGCCAATTTCTTTGTCAACAATTTATTATCTGTGGTTGCTCTTCACGAAGAATCGGAAAACAGAAAACTTGAGTGTGATATCTGTGACAGTGGAGACCCACCTGCTAACAGATGTACAACTTGCTCCTATTTTCTATGTGCGTTTTGCACTCAAGCTCATCAACGAGCACGAAACACCAGGTCACACAATCTGGTCTCTGTAGAAGGGTCTGCAGCTGTAACAAAGTCAGCGGTTTGTAAAGAACATGATGGAGAAGTGATAAAACTGTTTTGTAATACATGTGAGGAAGCTATCTGTAGAGACTGCACCATCGTGGAGCATCGTGATCACAATTATACATTCGTGAAGGATGCATTCTCAAAGGGCAAAGAAAGCTTGCTGAAGGCTCTGGCTGATACAAAGGAAAAAGCAGATGTTCTTGAAAAGGCTGTGAAAGGTGTTTTGGAGATGAAGAGAAGTGTACACTCTTGTGCCAATCAGACCAAACAAGAAGTTGTTGAGTGTTGTGATGAACTGACAGATTGCATTGCTGCTCGCAAAACATATCTGGTTGATAGAGTAGAAGAATTCAAAAAAGCAAAATTGAAATCTCTGGATGTTCAGCAGGAACAGCTAGAAAAAGCTCTAGCAAGTGTACAGAGCAGTGTGCAATTCACTGAAAAAGCAGTTGAAAACGGCAGTGAGGTGGAGATCCTAAACACACATAAGCAAATATTTAGTCAATTACAAGATTTAAAATTGGCCAAATGGCAGCTGGAACCATGTGTTAATGAATCTCTAAGCTTCACAGGTAATGGCCATTTGAAGGAGGACATTTCAACCTTTGGTATTGTTAGTGACGTGGTAACTGATGCTGGCATGTCAACTGTAACCATGGAAAATGGACCAGAGGGTGTCATGTACAGTTCACTATGTGGACAGCCAGTAAAATTCCGTATCATTGCAAAGGAAAGCAATGGTAGGAGGCGGAAAGAAGGTGGAGATATCTTCAAAGCTTTTGTGAACACTGCTAATCCGCTTAGGTCTCAAGTGAAACAGATTCCAGTGAAGGATTGTGGAAACGGTACCTACAGTTTCTGCCACACTCCAATGGAAACTGGCTTTTTTGAGTTGTCTGTGCAGGTTAAGGGCTCTCATATTCGAGAAAGCCCATTTCAGTGGTCCGTCAGGGATCAAAACAGTTTAGGTGAATTAATTCTATGTGCCAAAAAACTTACTGCTAAGTACAGCTACAAAGGAGATGGTGATTATGTTGATGATGATGATGATGTTAATGATGATGATGATGGTGAAAATGGTGATGATGATGGTGAAGATGGTGATGATGATGGTGAAGATGGTGTGGATGATGATGATGAGGGTGATAATGACGATGAGGGGGAGGATGATGATGGCGGTGATGATGATGATGATGATGGTGAAGATGGTGATGATGATGATGGTGAGGGTGATTATGATGATGAGGAGGATGATGATGATGGTGGTGAAGATGATGATGATGGTGAAGATTGTTATGTTGATGGAGAAGATGAAGATGATGATGATGATGATGATGACTGGGAAGATGTTGATGATGATGGTGAAGATGATGATGATGATGGTGAAGATTATTATGTTGATGGAGATTATGATGATTGATGGTGATGATAATGATTATACTGATAAATGGTTTGGACACAAAGATACTTTGAGTAACTGATGACAAATTATTAATACTTGTAGAAATATGGCCCTTATGTGTGTTTACATCGGACAAGAAAATTTCATCACTATTAAGCCTCATTTATGATTTTTTTGCACTTGCACTCTTTACGCATATTTTAATGAGTATTTTTTTTTTTCAAAACAACTATTTTGACAATTCATCTATGTAAAACTTCCCAAAGTAAAATTTTAGAGGGCTTGGTGTTGAAATTTGCTCATCTGACATAAACATGCAAAAGGGCTACATGCAGTCAAGTTCTTGACTATGATAATTATGCTTGGAGGTATTTTTAAAAATTATACCCAGAAAAGCTAAAAGTTCAGGGTTCTCAATAGATTTTTAAGTAGGAGGTGATCACTGATAAAGTAGGAGGCTCTTCAGCAAAGCCAGAGGTGTCAAAACAAAGCAAAGAAAAGCGACTTAAACACAAAGTAAGCGGCGATCAATCGCCGGGTGCCGCCTTCTATTGAGAACCCTGAAGTTAGCAAATTTTATGGTAAGGTATTCCATCCACAGTCACCATTATAAGTCAATTCCTTTTTTGCATTTCATGGCTTTTTTATGAATTTTAGGTCTCTGATGTTATATATTATGTGATTGGCAGGATAACCAAATCACCTCAGATGATTGACTTACCATGGTAAAAAATTTGTGTTGCTGGGAAAAAACTGTTAAGATGTTTTGTGGTGTGGACTCCATTTATTAATTTAACATTAAGTTTTTGGTTTTGCATCGACTGTTCTCCCCTCCCAGGGATGGGGAGGGGGGGGGATACTCCCTATAATGGCCTATACGGGGAGGCTCCGCCCGAAAGGGGTACCTTTTTCAGGCTTCAGGTATATGAAAGGGTAGGGATTTTATTCCTCGAAGTATACGAAAGGGTAGGCAAATCTGTCATTTGTTACTGTGGAAGGGCCTAAAAGGGCTAAAAGATGTACTTAGTGCCTTTATAAAGTTGAGAAAACATTCTACTTCTGCGATTGATGCCTATTTAAATGACAGTGCATTTACAGCAGTTAAAAGGAATGCAAAGTTCTAAATGAGCAATGTGAAAGGGGTACCATTTGCAATAGATGGTATAGGAAAGGGGTACCTTTTTGGTTAAAAATCGTATATAAAAGGGTAAGGGATTGGACCTTGGGGCGGAGCCTCCCCGTAAAACAATTTGTTGAGGGAAAACGAATGTAATAAACACTGAAAACATATACACTGAACACTTCCACAGATGTAGGTGGCAATAATTTTCATTGATGTTTAAAAGGCTTTTGCAAGCATATAGGTCAACATTCAATAGCTCTTATCAAAGGTCAGCAATAACAAACAAAATGTACAAATGGCTGACAAAACAGTTTATGAGTGTAAAGAAATGAATATGTATATACATGGTTAGACAAATCTATACAGGGTAGCTATAGTTTTTGTCTTTGGCTCTGTTTATATGTAGAAATGTTTTACCGGGTAGAAGGGTCACCTGCTTACGCGAGCTACCCTGGATGAGCAAACACCTGGCGAACCGTTTTTATGAGAAACAAAAGTTGGCTTGGCTAGGCAACCCTTCATTGATGGTAGGGTCGTTCTCTTAGCTAGGCCAACTTTCGGCCATATAAACACTTTGGTTTGCCCAGCCGGTTTGACTCAGAACATGAGGTGACGCAATCAGAGCATGCATGAGTGATGTTTTAGACAGTAAGAGCATGCACGAGCATTGTTGCCTCTGGCTAAAAGGGTCAACTTTTTCTCACATAAATGCTCGCTAAAGTTGACTCGGTTGGGAGGGTGTCCCTCATGTAAACAGGGCCTTAGATTTCAACAAGTCACATCATACTCTAAGTGAGAGTGTGACAATAAAAGCTAAAAGCTTTTTTTGTAGGGTTTACTTGCTACTAAAGTAACGTGAGATTTCATTGCCAAATAATGAAACTGGTTGTTATTTGATAAGATGTGTTTATATGGTAAAAAGATAACAAAGATAGTAGTGCATGAATGTTAAAGTCAAAGAGCATTTCGCAAGGACATAGCCAATATTTGAAAAAAGGACTTTTAGTGTACTGCCTTTTGTAAGTCACCCAAGATTGTAGATTGAATTCTAGACTAGTAGATTGTAACCAAAGCAACTTCCTTGCTAACCTCTTTTCTAAGTACAGGCGTCATCAATATTTATCCATTGGACCCTTGATAAACTGAAGGGCCAACGGACTGCAAAATATGTTTGCTATAACAGAGTTTATTAAATCGAAGTTCTTTTCCATATATTTTTATATTATTGAGCGGTAAAGAACAATGATTCATCATAGCACATACTTGTTATGTAGAAGTTCGTTATATTTTTTGTCCTGGTGAAATGATGTAAATTTCCTTTCTCTAAATAGCCCTGAATATTCTTAGTTACTGTTCCTGTGCATCAGTTATAAGACAATATTCATCAGTCCAGTAAAACTAATGCATTGCCAAAACTGAAGATCAGCTCGTAAAGCTGTAGCAACATGTACAAACGAAGCTTGATTTTATAAGGTGATGCAAACTCTATGTCGAGGTACTGGGGTATGTCGGTTAGAGGTATCACATAATCTCCAATTGCCCTAATTGTTCTATTTAAGATCAAACTGTTAGTTTTCCTACCTATGACAGTGAACCAAAACTCAATACCCCCATACACACTGACAATATGTTACAGTACATAGATTGTTTTAAATAAATGATCACAGGAACTTTATTTGTGGTTTGTGTTAACATTGGAATGGGGCTGGTATCCAATCCTGATTCGGTTCAATCCAGTGATGTTCTCGACTTGACTATTAGCGATCACTACTTAGTCTTTGCCGTCTTGAATCTGAGAGCACCTAGACAAGCTACCAATTATATCACAACACGAAGTTTCCGGAAGTACAATGCTGACCAATTTGCAAATGATATAGCGCATATCCCATGGGATACGATTGACTTGATGGATTCTGTAGATGAAAAGTTGGACGCGTTTAATGACTTATTTTCAACCTGTTTGAATGCTCATACTCCTGTGAAAACCGTAAAGCTAAAACGCCAGCCGAATCCATTCATCACTGACCACATCAATGATCTCATGAAGACAAGGGACTCTACGCACAGGAAAGCGCGGAGGACGGGGTCGGTAAATGACTGGCAGGTTTTCAGAGACCTGAAAAAGGAAGTAAAATCTATTCTACGGAAGGCAGCAAAAGAATATTTCAATGAGCAAATCTGCGCAAATAAGAACAATACCGGGGCAATTTGGAGAACTATTCGGCGCGCACTACCTAAGAAATCGAGTTGCACCACGCATTACACTAAGGATCCCAGTATTCTCGCTAATGAATTCAACCAGTTTTTTATATCTAATGGAGTAAATGCAGCTGGTAAATCCGCTGAGCTGGCCCGGTCGCTTGGGCTCACTGATTACTTCCCCTCATGTAGCAATAATTCACCGAAGTCTGGTGAAGGCTTGTTCGATCCTAAAAAGCTGTGTCCTGTTCTGAAGCCCGAGAGGTTTTAACTGTTATGCCGTCCAACAAGGCCCCCGGCTATGATAGAATTCCACTGTTCGTCATCAAGGACTGCCTTCCTTACATACTTCCGACTTAAACTAGACTAATCAACTCCTCGTTTGCCTGTTCTGAATTCCCTAGGCCTTGGAAAAAGTCTGTGATTGTACCCCACCTAAAAGACGGTGATCATGAGGTCCCCAATAACAACCAGCCGATCTCGTTGCTTCCTGTCCTTTCTAAAGTGGCTGAGAGTTACTGGTCATATCTTCAGGGCTGTAGACCAACAGCAATTGACGGCTATGGTCCTAAATTATAGACCTCAGCAAGGCCTTCGACGGTATTTGCCACAGTACACTTCTCATACTACGCAGCCTAGGCACATCAAGTTAGGCTCTGAAATGGTTCAAGAGTTACCTCACGGACCGCAAGCAGTCTACTCGATTAGGCACCTCTCTATCTGATGAGCTTACGATAACACATGGCGTGCCTCAAGGCTCCATCTTAGGTTATTGTTCAACTTATATACAAATGATCTCCCCACGCAGTTAAGTCCAGCTGTACCGACTCCTACGTTGATGATACTAAGATCTACTGCTCCTTTTCGGCTAAAAACATGAATTCTTGCCTTGTAAAAATGACGGAAGACGTATGTCCCATTTGTTGGTGGTGTTGCTCACACCAATTACTGATAAATCCAAGCAAAAGCAATTGTACGCGCATAGTTTAGGCTTTTAGTTTTGTACCAAGATTGTAATTAATTTAAGCTTTTTCTTCTTATTCCCTTCTTTTTAGCATTTGTAAATTAACTCCAGAATAGCCTTTTGGGAGAGTTAATAAAAATTATTGTATTGTATTGTATTGTATTGCTTCAAATTGCCTAAAAGATGAAATAATATTGCACACCCCCATTCCAGGCCAGGGAGTACAAAGTGCATCCTTTGGTGTCTTATTGATTTTTCTGTCACTCTAGCCTGGAGACATGACTTACAAAGCACCTTTTCTGAGTTGGGAGTTGCGTTGCGAACTGAAAGGTCACTTTACTGTAAGGTTTTGTTGAAAAGTTTATATAGTTAACAACAATGGTAATCTTG